GATCACTGATAGGGTCCTATGTCATACAAAGAGAGCCAAGCTAGCCAACATTAAAAGGAAGTGAGCCTAAAAGCTTAATGGGCCTAAAGCCCATTTCAAACTAGGTTAATTGGATTAATTAAATAGGGGCGAATATAGGTATGGATAAGAGGATAACTCTTATCCACTTAAAGAGTTTAGATCCAAATAGAGATTTGGATTAGGAAACTTCTAATTTGATTAGGAGTAGTTGATCTTGATCTACAAATAAGATAAGGGATTATCCTTATCACTTAAAGAGTTCATATCTAAATAAAGATTTAGATCAAGAAACTCCTAATCAGATTAGGAGATTATCTCTTTAAGGCTATAAATAAAGAGTAGGGCGGACATGAAAAATACACACCTATAAATAAATATTAGGAGATCATCTCTTTAATGCTATAAATAAAGAGCAGGGCGGACATGAAAAATACACACAACATAGTTTGACTGTTTCTACCTCCAGTTCTTTCTCTCTTTGCTCTTGTCGCCCTACCCTGTTCGATCTCCATTTCTTGGAACTGATCAAGATTAGATCTTGATATTGTTTCTTGCAAGAAGAAACAATCCTGAAGCTGTGTTCACAAGCCTATTTGATTCTTGCTGAAAAATCAGAAGTTCTTGGTGAAGAACTAGCTACTGATCCTGCCTCATCCTAAGCTTTGTCATCTTCAATGGAGGGAGGATTTGGTACACTCTTTAGGCGTGGACACCTGCACTGGGATGAGCATTTTTGCATGGATTCCGTATAAGGTATACCTCTCCTTAATCTTGATTTCAGATTTGGTCTAGTTTGGTTACAAGAACGAACCTTGGAAATGTAGTTTTCTAAATTGGGAATACAATTTCCGAATGAGAGTAAATAAAATTTTGAAATTTCGCCCAACTTTCCTGTAGGGTTCGGCCATCCATATGATGGATCTCCCATCCCTTTAAGTACTAGGGGTGAAAGTTCCATCAATATCAATAACATTCATATCGGTGCTAACACTATCATGATGCGACTGAATATCGTCGATACTTAACATGTTAGGGAATTGGTTTCAGGAGGAGCCGACCAACTTTTAAATTCTAAAAAAATAAAAAATAATTTAATTGGACTTACCTAGATTATCGATTCAGAATCCCAACTTGATTTCAACAGTTGAAGCCTTTCAACTCCAAGAGTCCAAGCCTCATAAATTGCTAACTTGAGATAAATGAGCTAGTTGAGCAAGCCTCTTCTTGTTGAAATTTCAATAAAGTTGAGAATTGGAGAATTAGTCAATCAGAGTTCAGATCACTTCAGACTTTAGAGAATGTATGAGAGAAGATATTAAGAGAATTGTTGAATTGGTGTGATGAGAATGGTGAAGGATAGGGCTATTTATAGGAATTGAAAGAAATTCAATGCCCAAAATACCCTAAAAACTAGTCATTTTTTAGATGTTGGGAGGGGTATTTTGGTCATTGTAAATTTATTTACCCAAAATGACCCCCCTAAACTAGTTGTTATATATTTGTTTGGGGGCATTTGTGTCATTTTTTCTCCCCCCATAACCAAAATACATAAATACCCCCTATATAGTTGTTTATAACTATTGGGGGGTATTTCTGTAAACCCCCCAAAAGCTTCTCGGGCGGGCCGAGTGTGGCCCGTCCGGCTAGTGGACCACGGGGCAGCATAATTGTGTCGTGTCGTGCTGGCTTGTGGACTCTGAACCCCAGCCCAACATGGCACGACCTGTGTGCCATCGTGCTGTACCGGTCCAAAGTCGGGTTATGGGTGGCACAGTCCGATTTACACCTCTAGCTTTGAAAGCACATGGATACGAGTGAAAGATATGGAAGCACATTGATACACTAGAGAAATGCATACAAATTCTATAAAATACATCAATTACATTAAATTTAAGGTCAAAATAAATACAAATAAGATATAAATACATAAGAAATATATATTTTAATGGTACATATGAAGAACTGTGTTATAATTAATATAACAAGATGCATAGATATATTACAATTTTGTTGACAATCTATCAATGAAGAGTCTAAGACTCATATTGTATAGATTTTTACAAATCAATACATGCACAGAGCCATTATTATGTTATATTCTATATAAGTTTAACACAAGATATATACAATTATTAATTACTATATTAATTATTTTTTTAGTTTTACTTATTAACATTAAGAAAAAAGTCAACTAAATATTAAAACTTGAAATGTTTGACAAACAATATTTTTTATAAGCAATAATTATGTTATTATAAAATGTAAATTAAAATATCAATTGATAATTTATAAAAAATATAATCTTAATTTAAAATATATCAAATCTATTTAAATTTATAATATACATCTCATATGAAAATTCATAACTTTAATTACTGAAATAATTATTCCATTATTATTACTTTTATTTTTATAAATTTCTTGAAATAAGAAATCATTTTTGATATAAATGTAAATTAGTGGATTTGATAAATTCAATTTAATATTATATTCTCAAATACTTTGTAAATAAAGTTTTTATTTTTTGTAAACAATAAATATGTTTTTATTTTGTGTAAATTAAAATATAAATTAATAATTTATAAAAATACATTAAAATTTTTAGATACATATTATGTACAAATTTATGAATTTTAAGTACTAAAATAATTATTATATTATTAACATTTGTATTTGTATAAATTTATTGAATAAAAATCAGTTTTTTGATATAAATGTAAATTTGATAACTTAATTTATTTAATTAATATTTTATAAAATATTAAATTTTTACTTTTATTCTTTTTAGTTTTAAGTTTGGAGTGTTTAACATAAACATATGACGTTTACCAAAAAATAACGTAAACATATAGTGTTTGTTTAGATTGTATGTTGACAATAAAAATTATTTTATTTCATTTATCACCACGAGTTAGAAGGAGAAATAGTGGCTCAAGCTGTGAGGTGCTAAATGACTTAGGAGTTGGGACTTGTATTAGTAACTTTGGATACTGATATGATATGTTCGATATGGGTTGTATCGATATTTCAAACCTTGTTTATATTATATAAATTGAATACTTGTCTTGGTTATGATGAAGATCAAAAAAAATAATTTTGGTTATATAATATTAACTATATCTTTACCCGGCCCTTTGCTTGCATACATAGATACATACATATATACACATGCCATTACACTAATTTTGATAAAAAAAACATTTATATTTCAAATTCCAATTGGAACACATTAATACAAAATATAACAAAAGTGATAAATTCCAAAACCTATCATTTTTTATTTATGAATACAAACAAATCCAAATTCCTCCTCTCATAATCCTCCTCACACCTTACCTCACATCACTTGCACATGCATTGGAAACATCTCGCATCCCATGGACAAAGACCCACCTCACACCGAATTTGGATTTCCTCCTTACGGAGAGATATTCTGAATACACAACTACAACTGCAAGGATTGAATATGATCTCCCTTACACCCACCTTCATCGTGTTTGGGTGCTATGTAAGCAAAAATTGTATTCACGTTATGATTTATGGATGCATGCGAATTGAACCACATATTAAGAATGTCTCCCTCTAAAATTAACATATTCTCCAGGTATGGGTGGATGCTATGAGATATGAGATGTTCAGTTTTCTCCATGCACGGTTTGCAAGTACTATGAGGTGAATTTACATCTGCACCCCACAATATATCTCAACCATGTATTGGGAACATCTCCCATCGGCAACTTCAAGAGATTCTTTCAATGCACGCTGAGGTGAGTGAGGAGGAAATCTAGATTCCAAATGGAGTAAGTTAATCCACTATCAATTAGGGGTGCAAGTCGGGTAAGTTGGACCGGGGTTATGGTCAACCCAGGTCCAACTCTAAAATTTGGGCTTTAAGGCCTGAGCCCGAGGTCAATCTCAATCTCCCAAACCTAAGCCCAATCCACATTGTAATTTGATGCACTTGGGTTGGGCTAAGGTTAGTCAATAAGCCCACTCTAGTATGTGTGTATGTATAAATTGTACAATTGGATTGGGTTTGAGCTACCTAGATAGACCCGAGCCTGACCCAAAAATAAAAAGCCCAACTTATTTGGTCCCAAACCCAACCCAAAAACCAAAAATAAAAGTCCAACCCATATAAAATTTTGGGTTGGGCCCGTCCAAGTTGCACCCCTACTTTCAATATACAACGCTCCCTTACAATTGTCATATTATTAAGGGCAAATAGTAAACAAGACTAAGGGTACTCCTACTGTTTCTCGCAATAAAAACAGTAAACAGGACTCAAATAACCATCTCACCTAAAGAGTTGCAACAGGTATCTCGTGAAGAGTTGTAGAGTTGCAGAGGTGCAAACAGTAAACCGCTTGTAGACATAGATGAATGCGTGGATCGAACCATGAATAACTGTGCACTATCAGCGATTTGCACAAATACGGTTGGGAGTTACCAATGCTCTTGCCTGACGGGTTCAAAAGGGGATGGAAGAAAAGCTGGACACAGGTGCATCCCTCTTCAACCTTCACTAACAAAACTTCATGTGATTCAAGTCTCCATAGGTAATATATTGGGTAAATTTCTTAAAGAGGAGGAAGATGGAATGTTAATGTTTTGATGACTAATAATAAAGGATAAAATAATCTTTTTTGTCAAAATCAGTAAAGGTATCTTAATCAATTTTATTTACTCAATTAGCTAAACCATAACTGTAGTTGAAGAAATTTATCCTATTATTAAGACTTTATCGTGAAGATTCCGATCTACTGTATCCCACATGAGACTAATAATATGGCATAAAAATTTTGATTCGTTGATTTCTCGTGTTTCGTGGCCGTCCGATCAGTACAGTTTCTATGTTGATGTCAATGCAATTATCTCCCAAAGGCAAAGAGTCGGTGTGTTGGACGGTCCTGATTGATGGGCATTTCAGTAAAATTAACATTATTGGTCCACTAAAACACCGCCTATTTCATACAGCCTACGGACTACGGTAAGGGCAAAGGGTAAGAAAAAACGCTGCGGCTTCGAAAGCTCGTTGCCTCCTCTTTCGGCTGTTCTCTGCTGTGTTCAAACACTCTCTTCCCCCCCTTCTCTCTCGGAGCTGCTTTTGGCTCTTGCTGCTGCTTCTTAGTTCTTACTACTTTGTAAAACTACAGTGAATTAAAGAAAACATTGAAACAAGTAAAAACCCTTCTTTTCCTTTTCTTTATTATCCCGTTTTTTCACTCTCTCAAGATCTCCATAAATCTCTATGATTTTTTCCCTCATTGTTCTTGATAAATTCCTCTTTTGTGTTCGACCTTCTTAAGCTGCAATGGCTGATGGGTCCGAGGAGGCGAACGATATCGAGAAGCTGTACGAGTACGGCGAGCGACTTAACGAAGCCAAGGATAAGTCCCAGGTTAACTTTAAACTTTTGCTTCTCTCTCTCTCTCTATGTCTGTCTGTCTGTCTGCTTACTTTTCTTTGTTTCGGGGTATTAATGGTGCTGTAATCAATTCAGTTTGCTGTTAATTATGTTTGTTTATGGAAATTTTGATTTTTTTTTTTCTGTTTTGGGTCTGGAATTGAGGCAGAATGTCAAGGATTACGAGGGTATAATTAGAGCAGCCAAGGGCAGCGTAAAAGCGAAACAGTTGGCAGCACAGCTTATTCCCAGGTTCTTCAAGTTCTTCCCCAGCCTCTCGAGTCAAGCCGTCGAAGCCCATTTCGATTTGTGTGAAGAGGAGGAACTTGGTGTGAGTAATAGGCTTTCTATTTAGTCTCTACGTTGTTTTTCCCTGTAAGTGAATATTGGTGTATGTTTTAATGGTTTACTTGATGGGTTTGTTTTAGCGTGGATATGATATTAGTCACATGGTCACACTGGAGTGATTTGTAGTTAATGCATCACATTTGACCACAACCATGTAACTCAACTAAGTTTCGGGACGTGGAGAAATATTGTCTCACTTGGTTCACATAGCGCTGGCGGTAGAGTTCTAGTTGAAGCTGAAAAAATTTCAAGTTGCAGAGTGACATCACATACTTTTTTGGGTTTGTATTTGAAGTGGAGTTTTAGTTGGACCTAACAGAATTTCAAGTTGTGGATGTAGCAGTACAGGCATAGTGCTAGTGGGCAGTTGGAAGTTGGATAGGCTTTATGCATTTAAGTTACATTGCTTCCTGTACTTGAGGTGGTCAGATGGGTAGGTTAGTTTTTAGAGGTTGGAAAATTGCAAAGAGTTACCGGCTGGTCAATTTTCTTTTGATATGGTCATTTGTGGTGTGCAGATCTTAGATTGGGTGTTAAAGTTTTATGGCTTACTAGGTGATTGATATGGTCTGTGATGCTTTAAGGATGAAAACTGCTGTTATATCAGGCTGATCTGTGGCTGATCTCTGTTAGATAGTGGGAGACTGGGCATTTGATTGCAAATCTTCACTAAGCATCGCTCATAATTTCTTTAGGGCTTGTGGTTATGACCAGTGGTGTAAAGCTAGATTTTTCTCACATTTCCAGTTGACATTGTGCTGAAGTTGCTATTCTTTGTTTTTAACATAGCAGTGCCATGTAGAGGGCTATTTCTGGGTTCAATGGTAAAATCTTGGACTGACAAGCGTGAGGATGCTAGTCCAAACCTGAGAGCAGCCATTTTGTGCAAGAAAATGTCAAAAGTTAGTCCATAACTCCATATCCAGTCCACCTCTCCAGAGTTATGTTACCTGGATAAAGCAAGGAAATAGCTGTTAGTATTGGATATGAAATTTACACTATAACTTGAAGCATCTGATATGACATGCCACCCTTGTACGGGTATCCAGGTATCATAGCTCCCAAGATCCCAGATAGCAGGAACCAACATTGGGTAATCACTCTTATGGCAGTTGTATGTAGTTTGCTTGGTGGTGTGAAGCAGGCCATTTTTTATTTTAATCTTTGAAGCAGGCATGGTGTCAGCTTCCATGTACAAGAAATCTTACAAGTATCGCTGGTCAGTAGTACCATTAAAAGCTTTGAAAAAAAAAACATACAAGCAACTGTCATTAAAAATATTATCTCAGTTGTCCTAAGTAGTGAAGACATTGATTAAACGATGGCCTTTAAGTTAGTGATTTTGGTCTGCTCCATGCAATCGAAGATGCTGGACTGAAAAAGATAAGCTTCAGATCTATGCTCTAAGCTTGAAAGTTAGGAACTCTAAATCTCTGGTTCTTCCTACACTCTTGAAGCACTGCAATTAGGATCAAGGGAAAGGTGACTTATGATTTGCAAACTCAATATTTTAGGCCTTCTAGGCAGAAGTGGGAAGCTAACTTGCACTATCATGCTGGCTTTTGGGTGTTCCATGATGCTTAAAGTGTTTCTTTTTTCATTTTTCTGGTTATAGTTTTAAGATGATGATATTTGTCATTACCATAAAACATATAGGGTTTTGCAGAAGTCTGCCATGGAGCATGAGGCTGGGGGACAGTTAAAATAATCTCTGTGCATGTGAACTGCATTTAAGTGGTGGCTTCTGGTTGTTCAATAATGATGAGGTTAGGTTGGAGATTGTACAGAAAATTGAAGCCACAGTTTCAAATTCTGAAATGGTTGACTCTATGCATATTAGGATTTTAAGTTGATGGGGAAGGTACATTTAAAGGGAGTTTGGGGTCTGAAACAGGTTTCAATTTCTGATATTCTGTCATTGGGGCTCTAATTTCCTTGAGGATATGTCAGGAATCAAGAAGACTCTAGGATTGGGTTCAGACTTCAGAGTTGCAAGTAGCAGGCAGCATTAGAAGGGGCAGATTTTGCCCCTAATTTTGTTGATTTAGAGTCAGGTGGAATGGTGGATAGCCCTTGAATTATTTTGATGGAGCAGATTTTGATTGGTTTCTTTAATAGAGATGGTGAAGTAATTTTTAGAGTTTGCTGTAAGGAGTACCTGAGGAGAAGGAGGAAGATGAGTATTTAATATGGTACGCAACAGCATAGCCCATCTAGCTGTTGATGAATTTGCTTGAGCTGTCGCAGCAATAGTCACTGAGGGGTTGGGGAGGCTGAAGATAACAATTTGGATTTTTGTGAAGCCTAATAGGTGTAATGGGTGCAAAGAGAGATCTTTGAAAGCTAGTTGGTTGAGCCTTCTGAAGAGAAACGAAGGGAGGCGCCAGTGAGAAAGAGAGAGAGAGCATGGTTTTAATTCAAATGAATCATCCTGTTTTTTTCTTTTTCTTTCAAAAAAAAAAAATCAAATGAGACATCCTATGTTTCAGATAATGTGATTGATCTGGATGTGGTGAAAGAGCAGACATCGAGGAGGTTGCTCATAACGAAGTTGAGCAAATAGCAGAGATGAACAAGAAATTAACTTTTCAATGGGATTGCAGAATCAGGTCATTGACTATTTTCACAGTGAACAAAGGGTCTATGAGATGAGTGAGAGAGGGATTGATAATTGATGTTAATAGAGTAACTAAATAAACCGTCTCTACTTAACAAAGAAAAAACTAAATAAACCTTTACTTGGAAGGGTTTGGTCCCCTCCTCCAGTTAACAGTAAGGGGCATTGATGTCAGGCACAATCCTTCTTATATATGTTATATGGCTTAAAATGTCCCCAATTTCCCTAATATTTCCACAACATATTTCCATTTCCATGGGTGGCGACACGAAATTTTACCGGAATCAACATTTCCCCAATGAACACTACCTGCACTATGTGGAGTACAAGAGATAGTTTCTATGACATATTTCCATTTCCATTTCCATGGGTAGCGACATGAAATTTTACTAGAATCGACATATTCCCTAGTAAAACACTACCAGTATTATGTGGAGTCCAAGAGATAGTATTATAACATAAGTTGGTGACAATATTGTAGATATATGAAGTAGCAATGTTATTGTCTACCTAACTTACATGATTACCACTTTGAGTTAGCTCAATATTCATTTCAAACAAGAAGTTAAGTATTAGTTTTTTGTTTATGTAATAGATAATTAGGTTGATCTATTACAACCATTTACATTTTCTAATTGTTAAAACTTTGCTTTAACTCATTCTATCATGAAGCTCTAAATCTTAAGGTTTACAGGTTACTTGCAGAACGTATTCTTTTGTCTATAACCTTAGTTTCTTAGCTCTGTTTAATGATTTACAAGATAATAATATAAAAAGGTATGCCTATACTTCTTTTATCATTTCACAAAATATCATTTTATATTTTGCATATTTTACAATGTTTCCACCATGTCTATAATTTTTACATATGGTATTTCCAACATTTCCGACATGTTTCTTATATTTGGGTGACAGACATTTCCACCGACATCGACATTTTAAACCTCATTAATGTAGGAGGAAATGCTGTAGAGGAAACTGGTCCATGGAATGAGGGTCGAGTACATTGAGTTTGGCGAGAGGGGGTGGGAAGGCAGGGGATTGACATAATAGGTCTTTCTGTTGATGTTTCCTTTGGTGATCTCTAATTACTCTCTACCTTGTAGGACTTGAAGCTTTCTATTGCATTGTCTTGCCAAAGTTTGCTCTTGAATCTTGAGAGATCCTTTGGGCTGTGGAGGGGCTAGTAGGATGTGGGTGTGTGAGTTCTGTCTTCTTGATGCTTTTGGGGTGTGAGCTTTGGGTGTGGTGTATTGTTTTAGATAATATAAATGCTATATTTGTTTTGGAATCTCTCTCTCTCTCTCTCTCTCTTTCTCAGTGATTGGTTTCAAGTCAATAGGTTTTATGAATAAGGACAATGGAGAGATGTACAAGGGGAGAAATACAAGTAAAATAAAAAAAACAGAATTTAATACAGTCCAGAGGCTGTGAGACTACTTCCTCCTCATACACCAATAAGAAGGATAATACAAAAACTCCCTGATATGGTAAACAGATCTCCAATGCAACTCCACCTTTAGCTAAAGAGCTGGCTAAGCTGTTGGCCAGACCTAAGAATCCAGCATAATGAGATATTTTATTTGGCTACTAGAGATTTGGCCTCTCTGGTACAATACTAATGATCTAGGAACCGTCACTGGTCACCCCTATCTCTTAACCAGCCAATTTCTTCCTGGGAGTTACCTACTTTCTTCTACCTCCACTCTAGAATAACCATGGGTGATAACCATACCGGCCCAAAATACACCTTAGATTTTTTTTTTTGAGAAAAGTTTGTCCATATTTTATTAGAAAAGGAAAAAGTACATGAGAGGATGTACAAAGCAAGGGGAAAACCCCAAAGGATTACAGAGGAGGAAGTCTATCACTATACAAAAACTCCAATAGCACACCACATTTGGCTAGACTATCTGCTATGTGGTTTTAGTTCCCTGGGAATCCTTGTCAGTCTTGTGTTTAAGCAGTTCAGGGAGTCCCTAGCCTCTGCCAGGTAGTGGCTTATGTACCAAAAGAAAACTTAAGCCCCCTCAAAAAATCTACTGCCAAAAATGAAGAAGATAAAATATCACTTTTAAATACAAAATGTATGGATAACCAGCTTCTCATGTCTTCAGTCCTCTACAGCTATATTAATCACCACGGATTCTGGTGATGCTTTCTGTTTCAAATTCTTAAGTTTCTTTCTGACCAGATGGCCCACAAGACTGCTGAAGGAACAACTGACCAGAACAGTTTCCCTTTGACAAGCCCTGTTCGCCCCATTCTTGCAAAAGGTCTTTGACTGAGAAGGTACAGCACCACTGCATATTAAGAACCCTAAAGAAGTGTCTCCACACAGATGGCCCACAAGACTGCTGAAGGAACAACTGACCAGAACAGTTTCCCTTTGACAAGCCCTGTTCGCCCCATTCTTGCAAAAGGTCTTTGACTGAGAAGGTACAGCACCACTGCATATTAAGAACCCTAAAGAAGTGTCTCCACACAGATGAGCTAAAGCTGTAGTGTAAGAATAAATGGCTGACTGATGGCCCACAAGACTGCTGAAGGAACAACTGACCAGAACACTCTCCCTTTCCTTGACAAGCCCTGTACGCCCCATTCTTGCAAAAGGTCTTTGACTGAGAAGGTACAGCACCACTGCATATTAAGAACCCTAAGGAAGTGTCTCCACACAGATGAGCTAAAGCTGCAGTGTAAGAACAAATGGCTGACTGACTCATCCTCCCTGCTGCACAGTACACATGATCTGTCTTGGACAGGGTACCCCTTCTTCATGAGCATTTCTTTAGTCAAACACTTCTCTAGGGCTACCACCAATGTGAAGAATTTCAGTTTAGACGGTGTGGCTGAACCCCATATGGCCTTGCTGGGAAACAAGGGTTCCTTGGGGCTCCAACCAGACTTCTGTAAAAAAAATTGACTGTGAAAACCCCTGTTGAAGTCCACTTCCAAAGTCTGGAATCCTGAATCTGCCAAAAGTTGATTCTGCATTAGAGTTAACAGTTCAGAAATTTGATTAATCTCCCAATCATTGAAACTCCTAAAGGAGGGGGTCCAGCAGATTGAACTGTCACTCATCCCATAGCAGTCTGCCACCCAAGCCAGTTTGTTATCCACCATGTTAAACAGAGAGGGAAACCTGTCTTTTAAGGCAAAATCACCACACCAAGAGTCCAACCAAAATTTCACCTCCCTCCCATCCCCGATTTTGAAAAGCAGCCCCTCACTAAAACTATTGAAGACTTTTGAAATGCCCTTCTGCAAGCTGCAACCATAGGATGAAAAGGACATTTCTGCATCCCAACCATTGCTACACAAACCATATTTCTCAGCAATGACCTTCCTCCATAGGTTGTTTGGTTCCATTGCAAATCTGCAGAATCATCTGCCCAATACCTCAAAGACCATATTTCCTAAATTCTTGTCCAATAACTGAAGGACCATGATTGCCCAAGTATAGTGGTACAAGTCAGGTATCTGACCTGAAGAATTTAAACAAACATTGGGCCCAGGCTCATTCAAATTTTAATGAATGCTCAACTTGAGGCCACCTAAGTTGCAGCCCTACCCAACCCAGGGTGCACCCATCAAAGTTTAACTTGATGGATCCAAGAGATGGGAGAGTCTAGATCTAGATGTGAGAGTACTAGTAAAAAAAATTAGATGAGAGTCTCTCTCAAAGTGTATGAGAAAGCTAGAAAAGAAGATCCCTCACATTGCCATTACTTATCAGTGGTAAAATCCTAGAACTTCTTTATAGTTTGAACTAGTGTTTTAAAACCTGAACCGGTGGACGACCTGGTTTTCTTCCCAGGTGAGTTCACTGTTTCTACTGTCCAGGTTGAATGGGTCACTATTTTATTAATACAACAGATCTGGATCATCAGACTAGAATATTAGGTTAGATTTATCTTATATACATGTATAACCAAATATTAGGTTATATAACCAAATATTACTATATTAGAGAATGAAAGAGAAAAAGTGAGATGCAACTAAGCTTTGGTTGTTGTGGACTTGTCATCACTGCTTGGTGGTAGCCCGCCTCTCTCTCTCTCTCTCTCTCCTTGTCAATTGGATCTTTTGATTTGACTGGCTGATTTGATAAAGTTCTAATATTTAAATCTTGTTTAGAATATTTGACAGTTTGATTGACTTACTGGTTGAATACAGTCTAATATTTAAATAGCATGATTTGTGAACCATAGATCGAGTTAAATGGTTCAGTTCAGTGGTCTAACTGTCTTGGATGAATGAGTTTTGACCAGTGTTTAGAAAACCGGCCAGACCGGTCGGTGGACTGTTGAACCGTGAGTCCGTGACCCAGGACCTTGGCCGGTTTGGTCATACCCCAATAACCACACTTGATAAAAAACCGGTGAAAACCAGCTGTCTGGCCGGTTTGACCAGAAAACTGGTCCCGGTTTTGTGAAACCACCTGGGTCCTTAACAATTGAAATTTTAAAATGTTTTTAGCAAGACTTGAATCCATGACCTCTAATTTCTATATATTGCTCAATTACCATTAGTTCACCTCTTTACTTGTGATAATTAATTGCTCTTTAATGTACGCATTACTTTATTATACACATATTTTAAAGAAAATGTAAATTAAGAGACTTGAACCCTAGTCATTTGCTTTATTATGTGACCTGTAATATATATATATATATATATATATATATATATATATATATATATGTATGTGTGTGTGTGTGTGTATGCCATGCCATCACAGTTCGGCCCCGGTTGAACCTCTGACCCATGAACCTCTCCCTTCTCTGGTTTTATGCGCAGTCCGGTTTTCTGAACATTGGTTTTGACCAAGTGAATGCTTTTTTTTTGGCTTATTTACAGGTTTGGGGTTGAATTAGACAGTCTTATCCTACTGGTAATGGGTTGAGTAGTTTGATCATCCAAGTCAATGATGGCTTGAGAACACTGGTTCGTGCCTAGTGGGCCACTATAACACAGATGAGATCAATAAGAACACTGCTCTTTTATTTTTATAGAGAAAACCCTAATCATTTTTCTCTTGGTACTCTTAAGAATCTCTACGTAATCTTTCTTTTCAAGGTCATAGACTCTTAGGAGAGAGCCAAGATGAGCCAAGTAATGCTGAAATGTCCCGTGGAGGTCTTGGGAGGGGTAGGCTTCCTAACACTTGGCTTTTTATTTTTTTATTATTTTTAATTTGCACATACTGGCCACTCTCAGACTCCAAATAAAGTGGCTGTTGACCTGTCTTCAGAATCATGAGCTGGATTACAGTTCAGAGGATAAGTGGCAGTGGAAGTGGAACTCAGATGGTGTGTTCTCTGTCAAGTCTCTGGCTTCTAACCTCTGTAGTAGGGGTGTTCCTGATTTCCTTGGCCGTCAAGTGTGGAATCCCACCAGCCCAACTGAATCTAACTTCCTAGTTTGGATTACGGCGCTTGATAAATGTCTTACTAGAGCTAACCTTGTGAGAAGGGGCATTCAGATTTTGGATCTTTCATGCAGTTTGTGTGGAAGTAGTGCTGAATCCACCGACCATTTGTGCATCCACTGCCCGTTTTCTTCTCAGCTGTGGAGTCACTTCCTCAGATGGGTTATGCCGAGGTCGGTTAAGGAGCTGTTGTGTTGCTGGAAGCTCATGGGTTTGAGCAAGAAAAAGAAGACTGTTTGGAAGACGATTCCAATTGCTGTGTTTTGGTCCATCTGGTCTGAGAGGAATAGAAGGATATTCTGTAACAAGGCTTCAAGTCCAGAAGAGATAATTCAGAAAACAGTGGGCAAACTGATGTATTGTGTGTTTGTGTCTGAGGATTTCAGAAATTGTAATGTGTCAGCTGTTTTTCTTTCCAGGTCCTGGTGGAATGTGTAATTGCTGAGTTGATCAGTCGGCCTTTTCTGGGACTGATCTCAGCCTCCTTTGTGTATTTCTTATCTCAATAAATATTACTTTACAAAAAGTTAATTTCCCTAAATCCCTGGAGTAAAGGTATAGGGGATTAATAATCAGTAGATGGTCTTACCTGGGGCTTTGCCAAGAAAATAGATATGGGGTGATAGGGAACAGGTAGGTTGTCTTTGCTGAAGCATGTCACATGCGTTGATTTCATGTGAATCATCTCTCAAGTTCTGTGGGTCATTGTGACACCTGTCACCATCTTAAAAACTGAAGCATTCTTTTTTGAAGGGCTTTTTGCTCTTCTTTCCTGGGATGTCTGCCCCATCCAATTGCATCATAAACTCTTGAGACCCAGAATTTCCACCCTTCACTTAATGTCACATTAATTGCTGAAATGGTGAAATGCATTGGTTAGATGTCCTTTTGTCAATATGAATAATGTTTTATTTGTATTTGAAATCTAGACTCTAATTTCTGTTTACCTATGGCTGCAGATTCGAGTACAAGCGATCCGTGGACTTCCTCTTTTCTGCAAGGATACTCCAGAATATGTTTCTAAGATTGTGGACATTCTTGGCCAACTTCTTACTGCTGGTAAGTTAGTTTTTGAGTAATATTTTAGGTTCAAGGGGGGAGGTTGTAAAATGTGGATGTTGATGGGGTATACATCTCTTTTTGTGGCGTCTGGCCCTGCTATTTTATAGTTTTTATAGTTCAACTTCTCTTACCAATAAAAAAAGTTTATGCTTTTGGTGCTTCTCTTCAGAAGAAAATGTGGAGCGTGATGCAGTACATAAAGCCCTTCTATCTTTGTTAAGGCAGGATGTAAAAGGTAATTTTCTTCACTACTGAAGACCTAAAAATCTTGTGTCAAATGCTATTTGTTTTGGAGAACTTTTCTATTTAATCTTTGTACTTGCTATACAGTTTTTGGCATGAATAGAATTCTTTTCTTTTGGTACTTGTTTATTTGGCTTTGTCATGGGCATCTCTCTCTCTCCCTTCCCTCTGCAAGAGGTGGTCCTTTACTGCGTGTTGTTTGCTAGGGACATTATGATTCCAGGATATCTGTACAAGGGTTAGCCAAAAAAAGATCTGTGCAAGGGTGTTGTATGGTGTAAATTTCATATTTGACACCTTATTTCCAGTTGTCCTTTTCCACATCTGGGTAAGATATATTATATATTGTTCTTTAATGGAAGCAAATATAATAATATAATTTTTTTTTGATTGGAAATGGAAGCAAATGTATGAATATTACTTTGATTGAAAGAGTCCAAGGGTTTGGTAAATCATACTGTAATGATACAGAGCCTATCATCATGGGCTGACAGTCGGTAGCTGATTTCTCCATCCATAGGCCTGTGCAGCATGAATATGAGTTCACACTACCAGTTATGCTCAAGCTAAAGTTCAACATATGCTCCTTAGGGAATCCCAGACCATTCGTGTGAGAGTTCTCCATGATTGCAATGGAAACTTCATGGTGTAATATTTGGGTCCTGTTGGGGAAGGTGACTTTCTAAGGGCTGAAATCCTGGCCTTAGTTCATGTGCTTATGATGGGTTTTGAATCAGGTTGGGAAAAGAGCATTGTAGAAGGGGCTCATATTATGGTGAGATGGGTGCAAACTCTAGACGAGGGGCCCTGACATCTAAAACAATTAAAGAGGCTAGGTATTTATCTGCTACCTTGAATAGCTGATCCAGATAGGTGCTAAGATCAAACAACATGCCATCTGATAGCCTACCTGGAGGAGGAAGTATAGGGATGTTCATTGTGGTGCTCTCTGGGAGTTGTCCACCTGAGTTGGTTGTAGAATGAAGCAAAAGGCCATTGGCTGTTAAGGGGAAGAAGATAAGAGAAGCTAAAAGTCTGGCATCTAATCTGAACCATTCATTCAGATGGATATTTGAGCAGCTAGAAAGGTGACAGCTGTATTAGTTTTCCTTTTAAGTTTAATGAAAGTTACCGTTTCCCATAAAAAGAATATTTGAGCAGCTAATGAATTGACTGATGGATAGTCTTGTGTGGGGGTAACCAGTTCCACAGAAGAATATTCTTTCCCATAAAAAGAATATTTGAGCAGCTAGAAAGGTGACAGCTGTATTAGTTTTCCTTTTAAGTTTAATGAAAGTTACCATTTCCCATAAAAAGAATATTTGAGCAGCTTATGAATTGACTGATGGAACCAAATTTCAACTTAGAGATGGAGAAGTCTGAACTGATGGGAAGCCGAAGTGGAGAAGTTTTTCATTTGGTGAGTAGATGGAAGTCTGAACTGATTATTGAAGCGAAGAAATTTTWATTTGAGAGYGGAAGGGCCAGAGGAAAGAACCTGTTAAAAATTAGGGAGGATAGGAAGGCCACGATACTATTGTTTGAGGAAGCAGTGGCATGGTTAAAGGGCTTTATTGATGGTGTTATACAATTGGTTAGGACAATAGGATGGAAAAATGTCTTTGAACTGGGAAAGAAGAGGTACGAAGTGGAACTGAGATGCAATGGTAAAGGCTAGTTCATCATGGTCACAGAATATTTCGATGCAAGAGGACAATTGCTTTGCTTACCGGAAGGGAAGAAGAAACAAGGTTGGATGGCCTTTGCGAAGGGGTTGCAGCAATTTCTTGTCTCTGTCAATGTGGTGTTGGAGCAAGAACGAAGTTCAGCACCCATTAAAAGCCTGGAGCAGCCATTGAAGAAGAGCTCATGCAGTGATGGTGAACTTATTTCGAGCTCTAATACAGGGGGTGAAGCTGTGGTTTGAGGGTGAGAAAGAAGACTGGGAGCGGAGAATGGTGATCTCAGCAAGCAAGCAATACAAGATTGGAGGAAGGTCCTAAACTCAGTGGTGCACAACTTGAAGATGGAGTCCAAGGTTGCTCTGAAATTGTTCTCAGACAGGAAGGCAGTGTTGAGAATTGACGATGAGAAAATCAGGGGATTTACATCTTTTGAATGTGAAGAAGGTTTGATTCAGATTCAAAACTGGAAACCGTTGTGTAATGAGATGGGACATGTCTGCGGAAGTTTCCTGCTCAAAATAGTAGGTCTTCCCTTCCATCTCTGGAGTGAAGCAAATCTGGGAAATATTGTGAAGCTGCTGGGCGGAGAAATGGAGGAAGTCCAACTGCAAGATTTTCGTGCCGCTGTGGTTAGGATGGTCGGGGTGAGACCGGAATCGCTCCCAAGAACAATAGAGGTTCTTGCTGAAGGTACATGGTTTAAAGTATGGTTAGTTTCAGAGGTGGAGGCAGAGCTTTGGGGACAAAGACCCAAGGTAGAAGATGATGCTGATGTGGAGGGTTGGATTACTAGGGGCCTACAGCTGGAGGGTAAGACTGAACATAGGGGGCAGCTTAGAAAGGAAGCTGAAAAGTCGGTGGGAGAGAACCAAAAGCCACGAAATCTATTAAAAGAAATAAATTCAAAATTTTTTGAATTAGCTGGTAATTCGAAGGGACAAGACACTTTCGCTGACGTGGTTAAGAAAGGGAGATTTCTGCAGGCCGGGTCATCTGAACCGGTGGGTGGACTGATCGGCTCAGCCAGAAGGGGGAATCCCTACCCACGTGATTGTTTAAGTGAGCACGTGGGTCGGGGGAGATAGTTGGGTCTTCTTCGAAAATTTTGGATGGGGGCGTTGTAGGTGATCTCAGGCAGTCAGAGCGAAGCTCAAGTACTCTCCGGTGGGTGCCTTGCGCAGTTCCTGAAATACCCAGGGAGGGACAAACATCACAAGACAGACCAAACCCCAGGTACGATCGAGCTCATCTCGAGGAAAAGGATGGTTTCGACGAGGGCTGGGTGGACTGCGAAATGGAGGAAGAAGACGTGGAAGAAGTTTCGGATAGCTAGTCCAATTTAGGTAGTGTTTTGGGTGAGAAGTTTTCAGAGGAAGAAAAAGAGAGAAAAGTAAGGTGGAAGAGCAAAAGAGGTTGTACTACTAATCACATTTGCCACCCTGTTTTATTTATTCCATAATTGGGTAGAATTGCATATATACCCCTGTTAAATAATAAAGAAATAAAAAGAGGACAAAGCCTAACTGCCGCCACATTGGAATTACATAAATATAAATAGAGAAACTGACTTCTAAAAACATGATATCAATTGCATGAATTAGTAAAAATCTTTTTGTAATATAACTTGATTTAGATGCACTTGCTTGTTATCTTTAGTTTTTCCCCTGATATATCCAGAAGTGTTGTTGTCAATGTATAATAACCCTTGTCATGGTACATTTAACATAACCAGGATATTCTTTTCTGTACCAATTCATGCTATATGATTGTTTTTGTTGCAGCTTCTTTGACAGCTTTGTTTAAGCATATTGAGAGTACTGATGAAGCTAACACTGATGAAAGTATCCGTGAAAAGGTCCTGAACTTCATTAGGGATAAGGTGAGGAGCATATCACACACACACACACACACATATATATATATATTTGTTTGTGTTATTGTTTTATTTGTAAATCATAGTTGAGCTAAAAATGATTTTATATCGCAGGTGTTTCCTATCAAAGCTGAGCTCTTGAAGCCTCAGGAGCAGATGGAAAGACATATAACTGAATTGGTGAAAAAAGTAGGTCAATGATTTGGTTTCTAGGGAATAGCTGTCTTTTTTATCCTGTATATGTATGTTACGCAACATTTCTGTAGTTTGGTGGGTTGCTTGCTACATTTTATTTTTCCTTTTTAATTGTACATTAATTTACCAGAATTTCTGGACAAAAAAGGCTACTAGATGTCAGACAATTTAATTGTGTTAATTGTAGAGTTTGCAAGATGTAACTGGGGCAGAATTCAAAATGTTCATGGACTTCTTGAAAAGTTTGAGCCTATTTGGAGACAATGCTCCTCCTGAGCGTGTGCAAGAGCTAATTGAAATTATTGAGGGACAGGCTGATTTAGATGCACAGTTCAATGTAAGTTGTGAAATTAATATATGCTAGACTTGGTATTGTATTTTTGTTTTTTCTGTGTGTGGTCATTGTAACTCTTGGTAGTGACTGAAACTGTGAGGCTTTTCTTAGGTGAGGTCTTGGTGTATTTGTATAAACCGAATATAATGAAACATTGATAAGGACTATGTTTGGAGCACTTTTTTCTTGCTTGCACATTTTATTGCTGTTTTCAACCATACTGAAATGCATATATATTATGCAGTGGTTCTGTTTGTTTTCTACTTGATGGGTATGGATGAAGTTTTTGGTAACTTCAGTGACTTGAGAAAGAGAATCATATTTACATAGATAATCTGGGTTCTGGAAACAAATTCAGTGGCTATCCCATTGGTTTGCTTTTTAATTCATTGGCATTTTTTGGTGTAGCTTGGGTCAGATCTACTGTCTTGATTAAGGTTCAACCGGCGTATCGGCCTGTATCGGTACTTTTTTTAGATTTTATTTATTTATTTTTCGAAACTGGTTCAGAGGGGTTGGTTTAAGGCCGGGCTACCCTCTGAACCAGTGTCTGACCTGAAACAACCCCTGGAGGGGCGTATCGGGAAGCCATTGGCACGATACGCATCGGCCCGTATGTATCGATACTTTGAACCTTGGTCTTGATATTTGTAATTGGGCTCATATGTTTGGTTTCTTGTATAGAGTGGTTGCGCATTCAAATGCGTAGGTTTTGTGAGTAACTGCCATGAAAAAGAAATAAAATTTGGAAAACAACAGCTAATTTTACCAACAGTGTGTGTAGTATTCGCATGTTTTTAGATAAAAGCTGAAGTATGCTTTCATTGATATAATCTAAATAGAGGCGTCTTAAGTTTTTAGTAAAATTTCTCTAAAGATCAGGTCTGCAGGAATTATATCAAGGAAGGGAAGATAGCATATTAGTCCTTTTCCTTAAATTATAGCGGTTGGATAATTTTATTTTGGTAAATGTAAAACCCCAATATCCTGAAGGGTTTTGAATAAGGGGACAAGTAAAGCAGTTATAATTAAGAGCAAGATCAGAATTACAAGTATATTCCTGGGCCTGGTACCCAAAATCCCCTCCCCCAACAATTTCATTTTTGTTTACCCCTGTTCTTGTTAAGGTGTCAGCAAATTTGTTGGGAGATCTAGGTGCCAATTTAAATGAGCATATTAGTCTCTTTCGAGAGGACTGTAACAACCTGATTGTATATTGAAAATCATAAGGCTTAGTTGCCTCTCTTATATTTGTTTATTGAATGAGGTTTGCCTAGATGTATGAGATACAAGGTGGCAGGACTTTAGTCCAGACAATTATATATTCAGAGGCCGGGGGGGGGATGTTCAGCCCAAATTGGACTGTGTGGTAGCAATCTGTTAGGGTCCTAATTTACATTGTGAATTTGCCATATGTCTTTCAATATTTCTTACTTTCTTTGGATGTCCTTAAAATGACAGGTTTCAGATGGTGACCACATCGATAGATTAATATCATGCCTGTACATGGCTCTTCCATTTTTTATGGTATATATTGTTTTTTCAATATGTTTTCCTGATTAGTTAATTGTATTGTGGGTTTTAAAGAAAAGGCAGCAAATTAATGATCTTCTATGGCTGAAATCATGCTTTATACAGAGGGGTGCATCGAACAGCAAGTTCCTCAACTATATCAACAAACACATAATACCGGTTTTTGATAAGGTAATTTTTAACTTGCTTTGATATTACGAACAATGGAGATCATCCTTCTGGCTTGTTCTCTAAGTTTGTTGCAAGTTATATTATCATGTACTTCTATCTTATGTCCTTGTAGCTTGTTCTTTTTGTGTTGATTGTGGACCACCCAAACTACTGCTAATAAGTGAATGTTTTTCTATTTAGAGTCTCTTTAGACATATTTTCAGTTGACATGGACTTTATAGTTTTATTTTAAAATGACAGGGCAACCCTAAAAGCCCTGATTCTGATTAGAGGGTAATACCAGCTACTTCATGGAGTCTCTGCTGAATTTTTCTCTGTAATATCATGAATTATTTAATCTTTGCACGTTTTGTAGAAATTGCTGATTTGGTTGCATAACATGAAAATTTTATTAGGCTGATTTTACAATGTGTTAGTGTAGGGGTATTTCTGTCTTTATACCTTGATTGATGTTGCTGATCTGTAATGTTGTGTTGGAACATGTGCTCTTAACTTAAGTAAGGGCACATAGGTCTTTTCAGTCTTGTTTTAATAATAATATAAATACTTACTGGCCGACTGGGAGAAGTAAAGTTGACTCTTTCAGTTCGAACCAGAATTCTCTC